CAGACGCGGGGCAAAGCCTCCAGCCTTCTGCTGGAACGGTCCTCAGACCCCTCAGTTCATGAGGCACATCAAACGTACCGCGTTACACCCGCGGCACGGTCGCCACATTTTCTCCATTTCTTCCGATTTCCAGGGACAGTTTCCTCCCTTTCCTCGAAGCCTCGCCCGCTTTTCTCACAGGCCGTCAGACCTCTGCCCAGCCTCTCGGAGTGTCTGAGGCGCCTCACTGGCTCTCTCCTCACAGTCCCTCCAGCTGCCGCCTCCCGGCCACGGCAGCAGCCCTCTTCCAGGAGCCACAGTCTGCATTCATTACCCCAGAGTGCAGCGGCTGTCACCCCAGGTTCTGTGGGTCAGGGACGCAGCTCAGCTGCACAGCGCTGGCTTGGGCGCTCTTATGAGGCCTCCGTCGCCATGGCGGCCAGATTGTGGTCGTCTGGTTTGCAGCCGGACGACCAGTTCCAGGGCGCATACCCCACTCCCGCGGCCCCCTTTCCTCTCCACCTGGGCCTCTTCTGAGTGCTGCTCGGGGCTCCCCTTGACACGGTCGCTGGCTTCCTCTAGAATGAAGCTGGGTGGCAGCCACTGTGCCCTTGGTGACCCAGCCCCGAAGTCTCGCACAGTCACTTCCGCAGCACCGCGTTGCTCTGCCGGGCCCGCCCAGTCCATTGAGGGGAGGGCCCGACGAGGACACGCGCGAGTGAGGAGCAGGGGACCACCGGGCAAGTCCTGTGGCCTCCGAGGGCAGGACGGCCTTCCTTAAGGTGCGGCGTGGCCGGGAGGGTTAGGTGAGAGCGCGCGTCCCGGTGCAGCACCCGCCAGGCGAGAACTCGGGAGCTCTGAGTGACGCTGACCTTGGCGCTGTCCCCCTCAGGCTGCCAGGAGATAGCAGAGGAGTTCCGCGCCCAGGAGATCGACGGGCAAGCCCTGCTGCTGCTCAAGGAGGACCATCTGATGAGCGCCATGAACATCAAGCTGGGGCCGGCCCTGAAGATCTACGCGCGCATCAGCATGCTCAAGGACTCCTAGGGCCGGCCGGCGCAGCAGGGGTCTGGCCCGGGCTCCTCCGCCCGACTGAGCGGAGCCAGGCGGACGTTCCTGAGGGGCCCAGAACCGGGGCCAGTCAGAGGGAAGGGCTCTCCCTGTGGGGCGTGGCTGGTGAGGAGGGCTTGGCAGCCCCTCCATGGCTCTCAGGGGCCTTTCTTTCTGTGGGAGGGGCAGAGAGGTAGGTGGCGCAGAAGATGGGGCTTTATGCTTGTAAATATTGATAGCACTGGCTTCCTCCAAAGTCCCAATACTCTAGCCCCGCTCTCTTCCCCTCTTTCTGTCCCCCATTTTCCAGGGGGCATATGGTCAGGGCTCCCCAACCTGAGTTGGGTTACTTCCAAGGGCAGCCGTCAGGCCTGGATAGAGGCCTCGCGAGCCCTTGCCTGCCTTCCTCCCGCTTCTTTCTCCAGGCCTGGCTAACTCTTCCGTTGCCGGCTTCTCCCCCTTCAGCCCGTTTCTGAAGCAGCCAGGGGCTCTCCCCCTTCACCCTCCGCAGGTGGAGCGAGAGAAGCTGGGCCCGGTTCGGCCACGCCCGCTGGCGCAGACGCCTTAACGCTGTGTGTGTGACTGGATGACTGTGTAGGAGCCTGGACTGACAGATGGGCCCAGAGCCACCCTCTGGCACCTCCAGGTGTTCTGTAGCAAACAGCCACTTAGTGCTTTGTCCTGGACTCCACTCAGCCTCAGGATGGGGAGTAGAAAGGAAGGGCAGCCCCCGTGCAGGGAGGCGAGGTCAGGCGGCTCTCGTTTCCAGAGTGGGCACGCGGTCTCCGAAGCCCTTCCCACACTGTGAAGTCCCCCCGACTGCCCTGCTGTGCCACGAACAGCATTAAGGGAGCTGCTGTAGGCCGGGCTGGGCCTCCTGGCCTGCCCGCCCGGCCTGCCCCGGGAGCCCCTGAGCGGGGGCCCACGAACGTCTTGAGGGCAGAGAAGAGCCGGGGTGACGTTGCCCGTGAAGAAGGCAGCCTTGGGCCTCCAGCTCCCACACTTGTTTGCCTCTCGAACTTGCCAGCAGTGTGAGCTACCTGCGGAAGAGGCGGGGCAGGAAGGGCGAGGGCCTGCCTCTGACTTGCCCTGTCCTCGAAGGCTCCTGGGGGAAGAGCAGGGCTCTCCCTGGGAACGGGGTGGGCACCTTTCTCGGCTTGTTCTATTCCCCACTCACACCCCCCAGGCAGGGTTGGAAATGAAGGACTTTTTTAACCTTTTGTTTTCGTTTTTTAAAAATAAATCTGTAAAACCTATTTCTTCTGTGCCTTTCTCCCCTGGCTCCTTTTCATCCGCGAGGAGAGGGGTGGTGCCCTGGGTCGGGGGAGGGACGGCCTTAGCCGGACAGCATGCCCTCCACACTTTCCTGGGGCCCTGCGCGTGGTCCTTGGTCCAAGGGTGCCCTTAGTCATGTCACAGGAGGAAGCAGACACACCCTCTTTTTCACAGGTGTCCCTTGGAGTGGGAGTGGCCAGAGCCCCTCAGCTCTGAGCCCTCCTACCCGCTTCCCGCTTCGCTTCCCACTTCCCACTTCCCGCTTCCCGCAGGGGAGAGGCGATGCTGTTGGGCCAGGAATCACCTGGAACACCCGGGGCAGGGCCAGACTCTTCCGTCCCCAGGCACACATCCTCAGTTGTTGCTGCTCAGCGGTGCGGTGTCCCCAATAGCCCTTGGGATGCCTTTGATTCACTCAGCAATTTCTGAGCATTTTTTGGATGTTGGAATAGCTACTTATTAGAGACTTTGTCCTCACGGAAGTGAGACACCTAAGCCTTGAATGAAGAAAACAGGGCATTGCGGGACGCAGGCACACAAAGGCATGGGGTGTGGGGTGCAGATGCTGGGGCTCGAGCGCCTAGGGTGGCCCCGGCGCGTGCGGCCCTGCGCCTGCCTGAACCAGGCCCCGTGGTGAGCAGAGCAGCCCCTGCCCTGCCTGAATGGAGCTGAAACTCCCTTAAACTCCTGCGCCTGGCCCTGGAGAAGGGAAGAGGGAGGCAACCTGGCCTCCTGCTCCTTCCTGTCCCTGGGTTTTTCTGTAAGGCGGTGTTTCAGCTTGTTTAAAATGTGGGTTTGAGGCCTGCGCCCCAACGCACACAATCAGCCTCCAAGGGTGGGGCCCAGGAAGATCAGGCAAAATAACTTCTAGCAGTTTGACACCACCTCTCTGGAAAGCCTGTTAAATTGTAACTACCACCTGGAGGAAGAGGAGAAGCGGACTGATGAGTTTGATTACCCAGAGGGCCGAGCCCGGACTGGAGGAGCCAGGGGCGTGGAACCCAGGGGAAAGCAGGAGGGGAACTTACCGCGGCGGAATGCAGGCCCAGCCGGCTGCGCACTGGGGCCTCTGCGGATCCAGACAAGTCCCTTCGCCCCAGACCCCCGTTTTCCCTTGGTGGGGGGGTGGGGAGGGAAAGCCAAGCCTCTCCTGAGTTTGCTCCTACCTGTACGCTGAAGGGGGAGGGCAGCGAAGCTCCTGAGGGGCTGTGGGGAATTCGAGAACACTGACTGACAAAAGCAAATACTGGTGCTATTGCTTTTGTTCACTGACAGGCCCCACCTGTTATAAGTCGGAACGGTGCTTTTTATTTTTTAACATTTATTTGTGAGAGAGAGAGAGAGAGAGACAGAGTGTGAGCGGGGGAGGGGCAGAGAGAGAGAGGGAGACACAGAATCCCAAGCAGGCTCCAGGCTCCGAGCTGTCAGCACAGAGCCCAACCCGGGCTCGAACCCACGAACAGTGAGATCGTGACCTGAGCTGAAGTAGGAAGCTTAACCGACTCAGCCACCCAGGTACCCCTGAAGACTGCTTTTTTTTTTTTTTTTATTAAAAATGTATTTATTTCAGAGAGAGAGACAGCGTGAGCAGGGGAGGGTCAGAAAGAGGAGATACACAATCTGAAGCAGGCTCCAGGCACTGAGCTAGCTGTCAGCACAGAGCCCAACACGGGGCCTGAACCCATGAACTGTGAGATCATGACCTGAGCCGAAGTCAGACGCTTAACCGACTGAACCACCCAGGTGCCCCAAGAGTGCTTCTTAAAATACATAGGGAGCGCCCTGGTTGCAAAAGCTTACGGTAGACCTACAGCAGTACCTGTTTCCACTAACAACAAATCCAAAGAAGGTTTCTGCTTTTAAGAAAAAAGACAAAAAGTGAAAGTAGCCTCTGCCTTGCAGCAAGCTGGCATGGAAGCTCCCGCAGTGCTAGGCGCTTCCGGGGATCGTGCTTCTTCTGGCCACAGACTGCGTGGCATCTCTGCCCTCACAACTCTGGGAGCATCTGTGCTTTGTCTCCCTTTATTTTGTGTGTCCGTTAGCAAGCCCTGTCCCCAGGTAGCAGAAAAGCCCACGGTGGGTTACTCTTTGGATCTGGGAACACTGAAAAAAGCCTTCCATATAAAGTAATGATTCAATTCAATTAAAACTTCGCTTTTATGCCTTTTCTGCTGAGGGGAGTTTTCATAAAGAGCACCCTTCTTTCAGATAGCAGGAAAACCTGTATTTGTCCCTGTTGTTTACACTTTACTCAGAACTTTAAAGACCTTTTTTGGTCACAAGCCACAGAATTTTTAAAGATCTTTTTTTGGTCACGAGCCACGGTTTAAAAAAATAAAAATGGTTTCCCACTTTCATATAGGTACTTAAATATAGATCTCTGAAACAAAAATTTCATAAAACAATATCTACCTTTATGTGCAAAACATTCTGGCATTTTCTTTAAATCTTGGTCATGATCCACAAAACTGATTTCTGAGAACTCACAACCTGCACTTTTTACACCCAGTGTAAACTTTGTGAAGCCCCTCCATCTCCCTATCTCGTGTGGCTCTTAACACTGCTGGGTGACTGGCGTATGTACACCATTTATTGTGAGTTGTCCAAAGTCACAATCAGGTGACCAGTGCCCTTGAGATCTGGCAGAAGCTCTGCGCAGAACAGGGTTTTCCCTGCACAGCAAACACCTTAGCGTGACCCACAGGCCCCAGACTCTCCCAGGGCTCGGAGACGCTGAAGAGAGGCGCAGGGGCCCCGGAGCAGAGAGAAGTCAGTACAAAATAGCTCAGAGCCTCTGGCCAACCAGAGCTGGCTTGACTCAGATCCACCTTCTCCCAGGTGATTGGCCCCGAGGGGGTTCCCAGCCCCCACCCCATCCTGGGGCCAGCCTCCTCCAGCAGGCACCGCCCCCAAAGGAGTCCCCCTCAGGGCAGTTCATCCTTCCTGGCTTCTGTGGGTGTGGTTTCTGATAGATTGCCTGGAGCTGCCTTGTCCCAGTCGCCAGGAACTGGTCATTTCTGCCCTGGCTCCGAGCTAGAGACTTCTTCCTGGCAGGCTCTCCCCACGGCTTCTCGACATGGTCCTCAAGGAGAGGCTTGGGTGAGTTGGGGACACTGCCAGCGTGTGGGGGAAAATGGGGGCGGGACAGCTGCTCTGGGAGGAGTCCAGCCTGGTGGCCAGAACAGCCAAGGAGGAGGCACAACGGCTGAGCCAGGGAGATCCTGGGCGTGGGAGACCCTGAAAGGGGACATCACTCAAGGGGTAGAGACCATCCATGGGGCCGAGCTGGGTGGGGGCAGACTGCATCCTGGGAGACGTGGATCCTGGGGGAGAGCGGGGTTACTCCCCTGACTTCCCTGAACTCTGAGCCCCCTTGGTGAGCGAGAGAAAGACCTAGGGCTGCGTCCCCCGCCATAGCTGAGAGCTCTCTGTAGTCCCACTGGGACTGACCTTCCAGAATTGAAACTTATTCCCACTTCAGAACTAATGCTTGAACGCAAGGAGATTGGAGGGGGCAGAGCTCAGGGTGGGTTTGAAGGACCACCTTCTGCAGGTGGAGGTGGGGTGGAGGGGGCGCCTTTGAAAATATCTGCGCAAGCCATGTGGAAGAACGGGTCAGGCAGAGGCCCCTGTGGACTAGGCTCACCAGCTGGGGCATGGGAAGGGGCGGCAGGAGCTGGCAGGCGCCCACCCGGCCGTCACCCGGGCCACTTGGAGTCAGCTCTGCCTGGCTGCCTTGGCTGAGGCCCAGTGCCCAAGATAGGCATCAGCTTGCCCTACCGAGGTTGGGAGGGGGCTGACTAAAAGGGTCAAGATGGTGAAGGCTGAGAGCGGTCCACTCTAGTCTTTTCTTGCACCTGCGGTGTGGACAGGTGGTGTTTCCCAAAGTGTCCCTCTGGGGGTAGTATTGCTTCCGGGAGCCAGCTGCAGCCTGCCCTCCCAGAGCTTGGTGGTGCTGGTGTGTGCAAGGGGAGAAAAAGCTTGCTACAGGAGAGACATTGACCGGGTGGGCGTGGGCAGGGGCGGGTGGGGGGGGGGGGGAATGTGAGGTGCCTTGGGGGAATATTAACAGAGCCAGAGACCCCTGGGAGTGGAGCGTCAAGGTTGAGCTGGAGCCAGGTCATAAGGTACCCCAAATGCCACATTCTGGCTTGGGAATCAGACTTAAGTTCAGACCTCAGCTCCACCACTTAACCTGCTGTGTGACCTAGAGCAAGTGATTTAATGTTTCTGAGCCTCGGTGTATTTATAAGGTGGAGATAATCATGGCAACTCCTTCAAGGGACTGTGGTCAGACTCAATGAGATAGGGACATAAAACGCTCGGCAGGCAGAGTGTCTGCCTCGGTGAATATCCAAAGATATTCATGGAGTCCAGACTGAACGCTGAAGCAAACAGACTCTCGAGAAACAAGTCACAGTTTGGGAAAGAGAATGAAGACAAGGAACCTATTCATTGCTTCATTTGTTTACTGAACAAATAATCATGAATACCACCAACTATGAGGCAGGCTCAAGTTTGGCACCAAGAACACAAAGTCTCATAAAACAGCAGCCTGGCCAGGCAGAGGTATAGAGTTTGGCCAGGGCTTGAGTAGAGGTTTGCACAGGTGCGGAGGCCACACGGTGGCAGGTATTAGAGGGGGAGGTCGAGGAAGGCATCGCAGGGAGGAGGGTGGGCATAAAAGACTTTTCTGGAGCTTGGTGGTGGTTGATAGAAGAACAGCGATGTGGGCAAAGATACAGAGGTGGGGAAGACACAAAGTCATGGGCAAGTTTAAGGGACTTCATGGGATCGGGAAGGGGCAAGTTAGTACATAGTTACAGAAATCCAGATGGGAAGAAGGTGGGGGGGAGGGAGAAGGAGCATGTCTGGTGGGGAGGCAGAAGCGAGAGAATTTGATGACATCGGGCCATGGGGAGCGAGGAAGTGGCCCCACCTGGGTAACTTGGGACCAGTCAGAGAAAACACACGGATGTCATGATTGCATTTACCACGATGGAGGAGACCTGAGTGGGGAGCAGGTTTCTGAGAAAAACCAAGAGTTCTTTTGACTTCAGTTTGAGACACTTGGGAGACATCCAAGTAGAGAGACCAGGTGGCCCCAGGGCCCCAGGGTGCCCTCTGTTACTGCACCCATGATGCCCAGAACAATCTCACCAGAGTACCCGGGCAGGGATTCGGCCCCGCCCCAGTTTCAGGAAGGAACCTGATCGACGGGTATCATGAGACTTGTGGTCTTATCCCGTGCTCCTGGCACAGAATTCCCAAAAACCTGAGGGCCAGGAATGTCTGTTAGTGACCCTCGGTTGTCTCAGGATGGGGCTTAATTAATCACCTGAAAGACCTAGTGACTATAGACTTGGAACTGCAGCCCCACCCCCAGCCTCCTAGAAGGGAAGGTAGGGACTGAAGACCCATTAGAAAAACTCTTGAACAACAATGTTTAGAAAGTTTCTGGGTTGGTGAATGAATGCATCCATATGCCGGGAGGGTGGCCCAGTCCGACTCCGTGGGGCTAGAAACTCCTGACCTCGCTCTATGTAGCACTTCCACTGCGTGTTCATGTGTGCCCTTTGGATAAACCGGTAAAAGTAAGTAAAGTGCCCCCCTGAGTTATGTGAGCTGTTATGTGAGCAACTTACGGAACACGAGGAGGGGGTTGTGGGAACCCGTGAGTTATGGTCAATCAGCCAGAAGTAGGGGTGGCATCTGCCAGGATTTCCAACTGGCATCTGAAGAGGGGGCCGTCTCATGGGACTGCGCCCTTGACCTGTGGGATCTGGCACTAACTCCAGGTAGATAGTATAGAAATGAATCGAATTGTTGGACACTCACCTGACGCTGGAGAACCGAATTGGTTGTTGGTGTTGGAAAACATCCCAGAACGTAAGGGGAAGCAGGACAAGAGAGGAGTGTAAAGAAACAGACATTTTCCTCCATTAGACATTTAAAAAACAAAATTCACCTGAGTAAATTTGGAGCTCTAATTAGTTTTATTTAATGATCATGAACCAGGCAGTATCTCAGCAGACAGAAAGGAGCTCCGAGGGGGGTGTACGAAACGGAAGGCTTTTGTAGGGAGAAGGGGATGGAGGAAAGGAAGCTTCTAGCAAAAAGTAGACCGTTTCAGGGTGCCTGGATGGCTCAGTCAGTTGAACGTCCAAATCTTGATTTCGGCTTGGGTCATGTTTTCATGGTTCGTAACTTCGAGCCCCACATGGGGCTGTGTGCTGACAGCACAGAGCCTGCTTGAGATTCTCTCTCTGCCCCTCTCTTGCTTGTGTGCCCTCATGCTTGCGCGCACGCTCTCTCTCTCTCAAAATTAATTAGAAAAAAAATAGACTGTTTCAGGTAGGGTCACTTTTCTTTAGGGGAACGTGGGGGGGTGGTCTATCAGGCCCATAATCTCACTAGTGCTGACCAGGTAATTCCAGACTGACTGGTTAAAAGTTACATTCCTGGGGGGCGCCTGGGTGTCTTAGTCAGTTAAGCGTCCGACTTTCACTTAGGTCGTGATCTCGCGGTTCGTGGGTTCGGGCCCCACATCGGGCTCTGTGCTGACTGCCAGCTCAGAGCCTGGAGCCTGTTTCAGTCTCTGACTCCCTCTCTCTCTGACCCTCCCCTGCTCACGCTGTCTCTTTCTCCTAGAAAAAAAAAAAAAGTTACATTCCTGGGAGAAGGTGAAACTGCAGTCACATTAGGCACTAAGCTTGGGTCTGTTGACAGGAGGCTTTGTGTGAGTGACTCCATTTGGGGCCCTGTTGTTTCTTTTTTAACAATTCCACCCACCCACCCCCCTTTGGATCAGACTCTCAGTTTAATTGAGAGACATGATCAAAATGTAAAGTGCCTCTTTCCCAGCTGTCAGTCCAAGTTCTCCCAGTTTTTGCTGGTCCTCTGTGTGTATTCACAGGCCATGACCTCAGGTTTACATTTTTTAAGTTAGTCATTCTCTTCATCTCCCTTTCTTTTTTGTTTCTTTTTTTTTAAATATTTTTATTTATTTCTAGGAGAGAGAGAGAGAGACAGCGTGAGCAGGGGAGGGTCAGAGAGAGAAGGAGTCACAGACTCTGAAACAGGCTCCAGGCTCTGAGCTGGCAGTCAGCACAGAGCCCGACGCGGGGCTCGAACCCACGAACCGTGAGATCATGACCTAAGCGAAAGTCGGACACTCAACCGACTAAGCCACCCAGGCGCCCCACTTCATCCCCCTTTCTGATGTTCCAGCCTCAGGGAGGTCATTTGCTTGGTGGTCAGGGGCTTCGAACGTGCATTTAAAGTTTCTGAGAGAGTACAGTGCCCCAGGGCTACTCCTATGATTATTTAAGGAGGATACCTCTCCGTGTCTACAGCGCACCCAGGAGCCACGATCTTCAAGACCCAAATCAATCAAAATCGAGTAAGTCAAACAAAGACCGCATTGAAGGAGTCACCTTTTTAAGCCAAGTGGCTCGCTCAGCCATCTTATGTAATGGAGTTTCAGTGTCCCCAGAAGTGTTAATCCAGGTGCAAAAGGCAGTGTTGACCACAGCACAAACACCTCCTTGCTCGGCCCCAAGTTAATCGAGGGCTGTCCAATTATCACAAACCACCTTGGCCAGAGTCTCTAAGGATTTTCACCGCGCCGCCACTGCTCTAGCACTGGATTTAGCCATAACTCTGAAGAGTTCAGGAGAGTGCTGGTCACAGCCTCACTTGCTTCACGCCCAGCCAGGGAGTTCCGCACCTGCCTAAGGAAGCAAATCCTGAATCACAAAAGCCTCCTGTTAGGTCCTTTCTAACATGATGGTGTAAATTTAGGGGAGTTGACCCACAGCGTGTCTCAGTTTGTTGGTCAACAGTTAGGGGCACAGTCAGATAACCTTTAGGCAAGAGTCATCGCCTGGTTATGCACCAACCATCTAGGTATTCGTAGGACCAAAGGAAAATGAAAACGACCCCAGACACAGACCCTGTGGGAGCAGAAAGCATTCCCGCCAGGGTGGCCCTGTGAATGGAGTCCACCATCATGGACAGACCAGAGGTTTTGAAATCCAGCAGTCTGAAAGGTTACCTCCCTTTAGCCATGGCCTGGGAGATACAGATGATGGTGTTCT